AGCCCCCAAGGTGCCCCCAGTGTGAAAAAGATGGAGCTAGAAGCTGACACTTCTAGTCTTGTGGGGTCAGGGCTGGGCCAGAGGAAGGGATAGAGATGTCAAGAGCACAGCTCAGCCTGGAAGGGTTATGACAGAAAGTTTCCTAGAGGAGGGGCTTTTTGAGTAGGGTTTTGAAGAATAAGTAGGAGTGCCTCCCCCCTAGAAAAAAATAAATAGGTAGAAAATTCAGTTTTACCAAGCACCTACTACAGGCCCGGCCCTGCACTTTACACCATTCTACCATCTTTCCAGGGAAAGTCTCAGTCTCTGTTTTCCAGGTAAGGAAACAGATGTAGAGGAGAGGAATGACTTGCTAAAGTCACACTTTCTGGTCCTTTCTCCTTCTCTTCCTTTGTTTCCAACATCTTCAGGCTTTGACCCTCATCAGAGAGGGGAGAGAAGGAATCCTGCTGAGGGATGCCACCTAGTGGGTTCCTGCTCTGGAAACCAGCACATAGTGGTGACTTTATTTAAAAAAAAAATTCTTGCCATGGAGTTGATTTTCATTGAATGTGACTCCATGTGTTATGGAATAGAATTGCTCCATAGGGTTTTAATGGGTGTAATCTTTACAGAAGGAGCTCTGGTAGCATAGTGCCTAAAGGTACTTGACTGCTAACCAGAAGGCTGGCGGTTCAAACTCACCAGCCACTCCTCAGAAGGAAGATGGGGCAATCTACTTCTGTAGTGATACTGTCTTGGAAACCCAAGGAGGGGTCACTATGAGTCGGGGCTGACTCGACGGCACATAACAACAACAACAACAACTATCTTTACAGAAACATATCACCAGGCCTTTCTTCCATGGCATAGCTGGATGGGTTCGAACTGCCAATAGTTCTATTAGGAGATGAATGCAAAGCCTTTATAGGTGACTACTACATCTTTTTTTTTTTTTTTAATTGTATTTTAGGTGAAAGTTTACATAGCAAATTTGGTTCCTATTTGCAAAAACGGCAAGGAGGCCACATGTTCTGACCTCCTCTAACCCCACAAGAGGAAGACAGAATTACCATCAATAGCCCAAGGCCTATTCCTGTAAGGCCAGACATGCTGCCTCCCTCCAGCCCTTTCACCAACCGTTCCTCCCAAAGCACCCACCACCTCTCCTCTGGGTTCGATAATTTGCTGCAGTGGCCACACAGAACTCAAGGATTACGGGGTTTATTAGGGAAGCACCAGGCTACAACTCAAGTTCAGGAAGAACGCTCAGTCTCTCTCCCAGCCCACCATCCCTCAGCAAACAGTCTCTCACAGTCTCTCCCCCAGCAGTGCTGGTCCCCCGGTGTCTCACTCAGCAATGCGCGTCTCTTGTGTCTCTTTCCCAGCAATGCGTGTCTCTTTCAGCAGCATGTCTTCCTCAACCAGCAGTCAGAGAGAGTTCTGCCTCTAGGAGGCCTCCTTTTGAGCTCGGCAGAGTGGCCAAACAAGCCAATCATAGCATCAGAACTCTAGCACTTGAGAGAGAGTGGGCACCTCCCAGAACATTGTTTTGTGCCTCGCCCAACAGAAATACTCCAGGTGGACAACTTCAGCAATCAGGAGCTCCTCAGTTGCTCATAGAAAATCCCACCTTGGAGTTTACAAAGACTTATGGGTAGAAAAGCCACACTAAGTAATTTACTACACCACACTATTTAACCATTTTTATACAATTGTTCTATGACTTTGGTGACATGTTTTACAATGTGTCAACATTCTCATTATTTCCAATCTTTTTGTTTTGTTTGTATTAATCTAGCTGCCCTGTGCCTCCTTAGCATCTCCTTTTTGTTGTAGGGGAAGTGTATAGTTGGTTAGTTAAGGGAGCACAGTACCCACAAGTGATATTGTTTATTTTATAAGCCAGTCTACTTTTTTGGATGAAAGGTGACCACCAGGAGTGGCTTCAGCTCCAAATTCAAAGGGTATCTTAGGGCAATAGTTTTAGGGGTTCCTTTAGTCTCTGTCAGTTCGGTACGTCTGGCCCTTTGTTAGGAATTTGAGTTTTGTTCTACATTTTTCTTATATTCTGTTCTGGTTACCTAGTACCGCTCTGACAACAATATACCACAAATGGGATGGCTTTAACAAACAGGAGTTTATTGTCTTACAGTTTGGAGGCTTTAAGTCCGAGTTCAAAGTGCCAGGCTCTAGGGGCTGGATGAAAGCTCCTCGCCCTTGGGCTTCAGCTCTGCCTCCTGCTCCCGGCCCACTGGAGCTGGAGGCTTTCTTCACTCAGACAGCTACTGGCTGCTGAGGCTGACAAACCCAAGATCGATAAGTAAAAAGACACAGTACTGATGTTACCAAACCACATGGCAGGCCATCAATTCAAGTCCACTGAAAGTTCCAAGATAGGCAGAGCATGGTAAGCTACTGACAACATGACTGCACACAGGGTTCAAGTGTGCCATAAGCTAGAGACCATTCCCAAAGTGGTTTCTTATATACGAGAAGCAGACCACGTACCCAAAGCAGCTACTCAGCTGCTCCAATAGATTCCACCATGCAGTTAATTACCAATCTCACCATGGAGAATAACTACATTCAGCTGCCCAGCCACTCAACCAGGCCCAGCCAAGTTGACACACAAACTTAACCACCACACTTTCTATCCAGGACCTTGTATTGTGTCCCTGATCAGAATGGACAGTAGTGGTAGCTGGGCACCATCTAGTTCTTCTGGTCTCAAGCTAGATAAGGCTGAGGTTCATTTGGGCTATTAGTTCTGTAGACTTGTTTCCTCTTTTAGTGTTTGGTTTCCTTCATTCCCTTTTATTCTAGATGAGTAGAGACCAATAGTTGTATCTTAGATGACTGCTCACAAGCTTTGAAGACCCAAGATGCTACTCACTAAACTAGGATGTAGAAAGAACATTTATCTTTATGCTAATTGACAAGTTGTTCTAGGAGACTATGGTCCCAACCCTTCAAATCCAGTAAACCAATCCTGCGAAATGTTTAGTTATGTCTAGGTAGCATCTGTAACTGTGCCCCTATGTGATTTATTATATATATAGATACAATAAACATATGCATATGCCTACACATACACGTTCCCATGCACACCTATATACTCACATGTGCCTTCCCATAAGTACATGCTTCTTATAAGGTCTATCTATGTAACCACACATATTTTTTGGTTATTATAATTGTTGTTCCATAATTGTATGTTATAGAATTTACCAAAATTGTCCCTTATTCTTACATATTTTTAGTGTCTTCTTTTACCTTACACAGTTGTACAGACCTTGTCATATTGGATATTGCTTTTCTCATCACCAAAAGCAATAAATGTCTACTATCTAGAAAGTGATTCTCTCTTCCTCCCCCTCCCATGCCGGGTGACCATCCCAGAATGTTGCTGCCTGTGTGAATACCTATACTTGACTTGTTATCAGAGTGAGACCATACAATATCGGTCTTTTTGTGATTGGCTTATTTCACTGAGCATAATGTCCTCTAGATTCCTCATTATTCTCTATAGTTGCATAGTATTCCCATTGCATGTAGGAACCACAATTTGTTTATCCATTCCTCTCTTGGTGGGCACTTAGGCTGTCTCCATCTTTTTGCTATTGTGAATAATACTGTAAGACACATAGGTGTGCACATGTCTAGTCATGTCACTGCTCTGATTTCTCTAGGATATATACCAAGGAGTGGGGCTGCTGGATCATAAGGGATTTCTATTTCTAGCTTTTTAAAGAAGTGCCATACTGTTTCCACAAGGGTTGTACTGTTTTACAATCTCACTAGCAATGTGTAAACTTCCAGTCCCCCCATAGCCTTGCCAGCAGCATTTGCTGTTTTCTGTTTGTTTTTATCAGTGCCATTTTTGCAGGGCTGAGATGGTACCTCATTGGTTTGCATCTCTCTGATGGCTAAGGCTCACAAGTATCTTTTTATGTGTTTGTTGGCCACCTGAATATCTTCTTTGGTGAACTGTCTGTTCATGTCCTTTGCCCATTTTTTTAAATTGATTGTCTTTTTGTTGTTGAAGTTTTCTATATATTTTACAGATTAGACTTTTATCCAATACGTCATTGTCAAGGATTTTTTTTCCCTGGTCTTTAAGTTCACTTTTTACCCTCTTAGTAAAGTCTTTTGATGAGCACAAGTAGTTAATTTTTAGGAGATTCCAGTTATCTAATTCACCTTCTGTTATTTATGCACTTTTAGTTTTGTTTGATAGACTATTTATGCCAAAATTTGGGTCCTCTAGTTTTGACTCTGTGTTACCTTCCAGGAACTTCAAATTATATATAACATTTAGTGGATCCATTTCAAGTTAGTTTTTGTGCATGGAGTGAGCTATGGATACTGATTCATTTTTATGCATATGGGTATCCAGTTTTGCCAGCACCATTTGTTAAAGACACTGTTTCTTCCTCATTAAATGGACTTCCACCCTTTGTCAAAGATCACCTGCCCACAGATGGATGGATTTACTTCTGGGTTCTCAATTCTATTCCATTCATCTATGTGTCTGTTATTGAATTAGTATCAGACTTTTTTGATTACTGTGGCTGTAGAGTAAGTTCTGACATCGAGAGGTGTAAGGCCTCCTACTTTGTTGTTCTTCTTCACTACTGTTTTAGCTATTCAGGGCCTCCTTCCTTCCAGTATAAAGATTAATTTTTTTCCATTTCATTCAAGAATGTTGCTAGGATTTGGATTACTAAATCTTTTGTGACCAAATCATTCTTCCCACCAGTCCAGAGGCTGGGATGATGTTCCCATTCCATAGAGCAGAATACTGAGGCTCAGAGAAGTGACCAAGCTTCCCAGCAACTTTATCCATACTGCCAAGGCAGGTCAGAGGCCTGGCCCAGCGGCAGCCCCTGGAGTGTTTATTCTGCACGCAGGGGCCGGCCAGAGGGACCAGGCGGGCGGGGCGGACAAAGTCCGGAGACTATAAAGGCTAATTCATCACCATCCGGTCAGTCCCAACTCAGAGCGCAGCCAGCAAAGCCATGGCCCCGCCGGGACTGACACGGCTATCTTCTCCAGCGCTGCTCCTGCAGCTCATGCTGCTGTTCTCGCTGCTGCCGCGGGGGGACGCCCTAAGCCTGGTCTGGAAGGCGAACCCTGGCCTCCCAGAGCCGAGTGAGGACACCTCCAGATTCCTGGAGATGCAGAAACGCTACAAGGACCTGGTAGACCAGCTACGGGTGAACCGGAGCCGGGAAGACTCAAACCTGGACCACAGAACCGCCTCTGTTTTTTGGAATCTGAACCCAGAGGGTGAGTGAAACCTTTGAGACACACACCACCCCGCCCCCTTGGAGATCCCTGGGTGCAAGTCAGAGGAACCCGGGCCCATCTCTGAGCCTCAGTTTCCCCACATGTGCCCAGGGGTAGCCACAAGAACTCTTGGTCCCCTTTCTGGACTGATGGACAAGCTGGCGGGGCAGCCAGGCTCAGCCAACGTGAGCTATTATAAGCCCTCTCCAGATCGCAGATGGAGAAACTGAGGCCCAGAGAAGCCAGCCACAAAGCCTAGAGAATGCCCGGCAGGGGACCGGCAGGGGGCGTGGTTCCTGCTCCCAGATGGGCGGGAGGAGAGGGAGGATTTCAAAGCACCCGACGGGAGGCGCGGCCCGCCGGGACCTGCCCCGGAAGGTTTGAATCTGACGCAATCGAGTCCAATGCTGCGGAGGGCTCCCGCGGAGGGTGTGTTCATAAGGATTTTCTTATCCCCACGCCCTCCACGGAGGCTCCAGGGTCACAGAGGGCAGGGCGAGGTCTGGGGTGCGATGGGACGGGAAGAGTTGGAAGAAGATTGGTAGAACGCTCTAATACCGCCTAATCCCACCTGTGCTGTGTGAGGCCAGGTAGACTGCTCACCCTCTCTAAGCCTAGAACTGGAGCAGGGCTGTCAACTATTAGAACCCCCACTCCCCCCAAGATTCGGGCCATCCAGGGAGTCTGGGATGTAGGGACCCTGGGAGGTCTGGTACCCCTCCTTTCCCAGATGAGGAAAAAAGAGCTTCAGTGTTGAAGACACTTTTAGGGGTTGAGGAGTTTCCGGTTGCTGTATCTCCAGCTCCGTACTTAGTAGGCCTTCAGTAAAACGTTTTAACTACCAGCAGGAGGAGGCAGAGCCAGCATTAGGATCGAGGTATCTCTATCGTGTATATATTCATTAATTCAAGGGTTTCCTAAGCACCTACTATGTGCCAAGCACTAGCGACCAAACAGAGATCCCTGCTGAGCCTAGGAGGGACCAGAAAATAAAATAGGAAGCTGGAGACAGACTGGCCAGCGTGGTGGGAAACGGGGAGGAAAGGGCTCCCGACGGAAGGAGCGCTTGTGCTGCTTCTTGTGTCAAGAATAGGGACCCCGCCTGGTACCCCGTCCGCCGTGACGGTTTCCTCTTTCTCCGCAGTGTGGCCTGGTCCAGGCGGCTACGTGCACCTGCGCATCCCCAGAGCCGCCCTCTCCGCGGGGCGCCCCGCCGCCCTCCGCCTGCACCGGGCCCTGCTCTGGCTCTCCCCGACGGCGCCGAGCTCACGCGATGTGACCCGGCCTCTGCAGCGCCTTCTCGCCCGTGGGGGCCCGGCGTCGTCTGTGCTGCGCCTGCGATTGTCGCCGCTGCCATCTGACCGCGAGCAGGCGGCGGCGAAGCCGTCGGCTCGGCTGGAGCTGCACCTACGATCGCGCGCCACCAGGAGGCGACGCAGCACGCGTGTGCTTACGGCGGAGACCTGCGCGGCGGGGGAGGCGCACTGCTGCGGCGTGAAGAGCCGGCGCGTAATGCTGGAAGAGCTGGGCTGGGCTGACTGGGTGCTGGCGCCGCGCGAACTGGACGTGCGCGCCTGTGTCGGCGCTTGCCCGCCCCGCTTCCGGCCAGCCAGCACGCACTCGAGGATCAAATCGCGTTTGCACGACCTGGACCCGGGTTCTACGCCTGAGCCATGCTGCGTACCTGCCAGTTTTGAGCCCGTGGTGCTCATGCACCACGACAGCGACGGCCGCCTGATGCTCACGCCCTACGAAGACATCCTAGTTAAGGACTGCCACTGCGCTTGAGCTAGAGCCCTGCGTGGAGCGGGGCCTCAGTGATCCGCGTCCGCATAAGGGGCCGGCAGAGACTGCTAAGTACCCACTTCTGTCCCTTCCACTCCCCTTGCCCCCCCGTGCACTGCTGCATATATGAGTCTGTATTTAATGTTAAAGGATCCATGGTGGTGCAGTGGTTAAGTACTCAGCTGCTAACCTAAAGGTTGGCAGTACATATCCACCAGCGGCTTGGCGGGGGGGAGGGGCGATTTGACAGTCTGCTACGTAAAGATAACAGACTTGGAAACTCATGGGGCAGTTATATTCTATCCTACAAGGTCTCTATGAGTTGGTGTGAATGCAATGGCAATGGTTTGGGTGTTTTTTGTTTTGTTTTGTTTTTTATTTATTGCTAATTTATTGGGGCGATTCCCTGGGGACTGGAGGGCTGGTATGCTGGTTTGAGGTGCATGTATGTATTTATACTCTGGTAATAAAATGACGGCTGTCTCAACTGCCACTACTGTGCCTGCAAAGGAGCTGGGGGACTTGGAAGAACCTGACCTTCCCACGCCTTGGTTTTCCCAGGGATGCAACCTGGTGTAGGGAAGGCATGGGGATGGTGGCAGGTCCATTGACTTGGGTGTTCTCGGCAGTGCCAGGTGAGCAGAAGGTGCTGGTGAGGTCAAGGGCGGCAAGGGCAGCCCAGCCATCCCTGTTGCTCTGCGGTTTTCACCTGTTTCTCTGCTTCTGCTCTTCTCTGTCATTCCCTGGCTTCTGTCTGCCTTCTTCTCTCCTCCTCTCTCAGGACTCTTGTCTCTGGGCTTGTTGGGCCCTGTCTCTCCCCAAACATCAGAGTCACCTTTGCCAATGTAGACTGCCCTGGGCCACATCCATCCACAAACAAGTCTTCATCCTTGTGTGATGCTGCTCCCAACCTGGCAGTTTGTCATGGGGTCCCCCCACCTCCACATTAACCACTCCTCCAAGCTTTCATGTTAAAAGAAGAGGGAGAAATCCAGAAGCTGTGAGGATGATTTCATGCACACACAGTTTATGTTCTCGCTGAGGATACTGGAATTCCTGAGATGCGTGAAGCCCTCTCTCCTCCCCACACCCACCTGCCTATCCTCCCTGAGGATCTCTGGGAGGTGGTCATGATGGGAAGCTGGGAGGCAGAGGACCCACTTCCAGCTGTGAGGGAGGGGGTCCCTTGTGATCTCTGTAGTCCAGAGACCAGCCTAATGACTGCAGGTGCCCCAAAATGTATTCAGTGAGTGTCCATTTTGTGCCAGGCCCTGGCTGGGCTCTGAGAGGACACACAGGAATCAGCCCCCTGCCCCGTGTGCTTGGTTAAGTGGGGAAGACAAATGAGTACAAAGATGAACCATCAGAAGGTGGCTGATCATAGGAAGGATGATGCAGTGGGCTCATCTGGCGATGCATCTGTGAACAGGGACACATGATTTAGAGGGTCTGGGAGAAGTGACTCCCTGCAGAAGTGATGTGTGAGCTGAGACTTGAAGGAGAACGTCCAGGAGAAAGTTGGGAGAAGGGCTCCCAGACAGAGGGAGCAGCAGGTGCAAAAGTCCTGGGGTTGGATCAAGCTTGGCATCTCGTGTGTCCAGGGAAGCCAAGACCTGTCCCCCTTCCCAAGGGCCTCAAGGGAGCCAACTGGGGCTGTGGCAACAAGGTCCCCTAGACCTCAGACCCCACCCTGTAAAAATGAACATCCCCAAATCACAGGTCCCCAGGCCCCTGGTCCTTAGACCTCAGGTCTCCAGATCCCTGGCCCCCAGACCATCAGTCGCCCAGATTCCTGGTCCCAGAAAGCCTGGGTCCCTCAGACCTCAGAACCTCTACCCCACTGTCCCCAGGATCCCTCAGAGTCGTGGTTCCCCAGACCTTACTACCCCAGAGTAAAGAGAGAGGGGTGATCCCCAGCAAGTTGAGGGCAACACTCGCACTAAGGGCCGAGAGACCAAAGAAACGGCCTAGAGCCATTCTCTGTGATGACATGGATTTATTGGGACTTATAGAATGAGTCCAGTGGGGGTGGCCGCAGGCTGGATGGACAGGAGAGAGGAAGAGAAAACAGCACTGTCTTAAAGCTAGGGGCAGTTTTTATACTGAAATACACAAAAGGGCACCCTGCTAGGCTTATGTGACCTTCAGTTCTCACTCCTGTGTGCCCACATTCCAAGAAGCAGAGCTCTAGGCCGGCCCAGGTGTCTGTGTAAGACTCTCGGGGCTGTGCAAGGCCCAGCTGAGAGCCCTGCATGCTGGCAAAAACAGCGATCCGAGGGAGGCCGCCCGTAAGGACCGTTGCCATCTGTAGGTATGCACAGCGTTTCCCCAATGCCCAGGCTCCAGGCCCTCCCACCTGCAGCCCGAGTGTCTGCTGCTTCCTCTTTCCCCATTTCCTCCTTTTCTGAGGGGCCCTGGGGTTGAATGTGCTGACCTGAACCCCAGTGGCCTTCTGGGGTGTGAGGATGTGGGGAATGTCTTCCCACACCCAGGCCCACACCAGCTCCAGCTCTTCTGCCCTCCTTGTCCTCAATAGCTACTGGATCACATGTGTGGCTGTTGGTTGGTTTCCACTTTCTAACTGAATTTATTGACAATTATTTACATTCATCTGATCTGATCTGATTCTAAACAATATAAAACGGTACACGACGAAGTCTTTTCCCACAGCCTTCTGCTAAGAGAAAACCACAAGTATGGGTTTCCCGTATTTAATCCAGTTTATTTACTGCAATGAAAGCTGGGCTCTTTTTTGCTCCTTTCACTTAACATTTTATCTTGGTGACATCTGCTCCAACTTCCAGGTCTATGCATGGCCTGCTCCTGTCCCTGGGGGGGATGACCTTCCCCCATATCCCCACATGGTCCCTCCCTTGCCTCCTTCCTTACGTGTCCTCTCCTCAGCAAAAGAGCTCTGGTGGTGTAGTGCCTAAGGCATCTGACTGCTAACCACAAGGTTGGTGGTTCAGACACACCAGCCACTCCACAGAATGAAGACTGGGCAATCTACTTCCGTAAAGTTTTACTGCCTTGGAAACCCAAAGGGGGTAACTATGAGTCAGAATAGACTCTATGGCAGTGAGCTTTTTTTTTTTTTTTTTTTTTTTTTCGGCAGTTACTTTGATGGTCTCATCACAAAGTTATCTCCCCTTCCTGTTTCTTTCTCAGTTTTATGTCTCTCTCACTCACACCCACTTGGTATGTTACTTATTTCACCCAGGGACCTTGTATGTTGTCTGACTCCCCAAATAAACTGTGAGCCCCACAGGGAGAAGGGAGTCTATTTTGCACATGGCTGTATCTGCAGCTCCAAACCCAGTGCCTGGCCCACAGTAGGAGCTTAATAAATGTTTGTCAAAGAAATGAGTGAGTCTTTTCTTATTAGCTCCTAGCTAGTTGCTATAGATTCTGACCCCTGGTGACCCCGTGTATGTCAGAGTAGAACTGTGCCCCAGGGCATTGTCAAGGGCTTTTTCAGCAGTTGATTGCCAGGCCTTTCTTCCAAGGCACCTCTGGGTGGACTCCAAACCTTCTGGTGAGCAGAGAGTGTATTAACGTTTCCATCACCCAGGGACTTTTTAAAGTCCATAAACCAAACTCAAATGCCATCAAGTTGATTGTGACTCCTAGTGACCTCCATTGGGTTCCCAAGGCTATAAATCTTTACAGAGGCAGACTGCCTCATCTTTCTTCCTTGGAGTCGCTGGTGGGTTTGAACCACCGACGTTTTGGATAGCAGCCAAATGCCTTAACCACTGCACTACCAGCGCTCCTTCAGGGACTCGTAGAGCTGTGTAATTGGTTTTTTTGTTTTCGTGATTCTGTGAACTGTTACTGATCTAACCAGTCCCTCAGGTGGTTTCCAATGTTTTCAAACAACAAACAATACTATAAGGGATCATCTCTTTTTTTGGCCTTTTTTTTCTCTTTTATATTGTAGTAAAATACTCCTAACACCAAATTTACTGTTTGAAAGTGCACAGTTCATGGCATTAAATATATCGCAGCAGCACCACCACCCCTATCGAGTTCCAGAATATTCTCTTCATCCCAGAGGAGACCACACGCCCCTTAACAGTCATTCCCCACTCCCCTCCCCCAGCCCTGGGCAACCAGGAATCTACTTACTGTCTCGATGGATTTACCTTTTCTGAACATTTCCTATCAATGGAATCAGACACTCTGTGTCTTTGTGTCTGGCTCCTCCCACTGAACCTCACGTTTTTGAGGTTCATCCACATTGTAGCGCCTGCCAGTGCTTCCATTTTTTTTTATGGCTGAGTGATACTCCAGTTTGGAAGGACCATATTGGGTTTATCAGTTATACTCATGTCATTTCCCAAATATGTAAATGTGTCAGGCGAGTAAATTCCCAGGAGTGGAAGTGCTGGGTCACATGTACTCATATTTCCGGTGGCCTCTGCCAGGGGGAGCTCCCCCTACTCTGGGGCCACATCGTGGACATTCACCCCAACAATGCCGGTGCCCCTTTCCCCCCAGCCTGGCCACACTTTTGAGGTTTTTCTAATCTGATAGGTGAAAATAAGCTATAATATCTCTGGCTGTGATTGGCAGGGTTCTGTTGGCATGGAGTCGCCTCTCTCCCTGGGTGAGTTGAGAAAGCCTCCCTGCAGAGCCTCAGCTCATGACTTTTATGGGATTCCCCGAATTTGGAAGTGGAAAGAGGAGGCTGGGGATAGGAAGAAGGTGGGGGAAGCTGGGGGAGACTCCCCCCGGCTTTTCTAGCTGCCAGGGGAAGACAGCATTTATCTAATTTCACTGACTTGGAAACAGAGTCACAGAGAAGTTAAAGTCACACATCGAGTCAGGGCTAGGATAGATTTGAACCTGATCTTCCTGATATCAGGACCCCCATTCGACCCTGAGCCCCCAACCCAGGTACCCCTGCATACACACATTCCTTAACCTTCCTTTTGTCATTATGTCCTGGGTCTGACTCAAGCCTGTACTGCTCTTGGGGTTCCCCACCTCCAGACACCCAGCTGCACCCCAAGGGTTCTTTATCTCCAACACAGTGCCCCTCCCTACTCACATACCTATCTTGGCTCCCCCTTGCCCTGGGATAAAGCCCCGCTCTTCAGTTTTTCTACTCTAGCCACCGCTAACCACACTGGCCCATCAGGTTATGCTTTGTCAAGCCACTGGGTCTTTGCTCCACTATGCCTTCTGCCTGGAATATGCAATGTGCTCATTTCTGTCTGGCCATTGCAACTCATCCTCTAAGCCTCAGACACAATATCCCCGCCTCCCAAGTCCTTACACCATCTCCAACACAGAGGCATTTGTACAAGTGTGAGAGCTCCAAGTCTTTCAAGGAGGCCAAGTGACCTGCCTTTCCACTCCACCCTACTCAAAAATAGGTTTTGGGAATCCTTGGCAAACTCCTACCCATGCGTTGAAGCCCCAACTCTAATGCCCCTTTCTCCAAGAAGTGTTTCCAGGACCCTGTCCCTCTTTCTGGCCCAGTGCTGAAACTGCACAGCTAGTTGTGTCTGTGTCTGGCTCTGTCCCCTTCCAAGACTGGGGGCTCCTTGACAGCCTGGCCAAGGCCCAGCATTGTTCTTTGCTAAATAAATAATAGAGGGCATGGGGTGGGAGTAAACTGCATTGAGACCAGGAAGTAAGTTGATGAAGTGCTGGTCATTTGGGGTGCTAATGGAGGACATGTAATTATTGGTTTCCAGCAAAAAGGAAGGATCCTGGGCTGCCCCTCCCCCTCCCGTGAGACGCTCCGGCTTGGAGGCCTCCTTGGGGGCGGGTCTCTATCTCTTCATTCTTCCCCTCTGCACTTGGCCTAGACATAAACCAGTTCCTCTTCCCTCTGAGTCGCAGGGTGCAGAGCCTGAGGGGAGGGCCAGGGACGACAACCGATCCTCGGAGGGTGTGGGCGGTCGGGCCTCTACGTCCAGGTCCAGGTAAGAGCCCTCCGGCACCATCCAGATGAGACTGGGCAGGTGTGAAGGAAGCCTAGAACTCTGGTCTGTGCAGGAGGGCAGGAGCTGGAACTCAGAGCTGGGGCCCTTTCAGCAGCCCCTACCTCACTTATTCTGGGATTCAGGACACCCTGCAGTTCTGGGAGAAACAATTTGCGGGGCCCCGCAATTTGTGGCGCCTGCGAGCTGGGGTGGGTGGAATTGTTACCATGGCAACTTCTCATTTGCATATGGTCCAGTTTTGACCAATGAGGGCAACCAAAATGTTGGGGAAATGGTCAAACCCCACAAGACTCACCTGGGAAATAAAGAAGGGGCTAACTTGGGCCAGGCACGGTGGGTTAAGTACTACTTCCCCAGAAGGAGAGACTGACCTGAGGCATTCAGTGAGAGTTTTATTTCAGAAACTGTGAAAAAATAATTTTAAACGCGGGGGTGGCACAAGGTTGAGGTTGAGCTTGGGTTCCGGTGTCTCTGCCTAGGTCACTTGAATGGGGGGCACCCTGGTGTGGGTGCTGTTGTTGCTGCTGGTGCTTCACAATGCCAGGACCCAGGAATATTCATGCCCTGTGTCGTCGGGGAATGTGGACTGGACCGCGGAGTTCCCGGACACGTGCCTGAACTTCAGTAACCTGGGTCTGAGTCTGCCCCGGAACCAGTCTTTGCAGGCAAACAAAGTGGTCCACTTGGACCTGTCCGCAAACGGCCTGCATGAGCTCCCGTCACTCTTCTTTGAGAAACTGGGGACGCTGAAGATCCTGGATGTCACGGGCAACTGGCTGGATCGCGTGGATGGGGCGCTGGCCACCCGCTGTGACCTAGACCTGAGGGCCAACTGCGGCTGTGGTCTGATGGCCTGGCATGAGGTCCGGCAGGTCAACTGCTCTGGCCAGTGGCCTCTGCGATGCCTGGACACCATGGGCACCTGGCGCAACCTCTCGGCCTTCCTGGAGGTCAGATGTGCCCCCGGCCTGGCCCCAAGCACCATCGGGGCACTGGCGGGCGGTGGATGCTTGTTCTTCGGGCTGGTCATCGCTGGCCTCATACTGGCCTGGGGACGCTGGGTGGCCAATAGCCGCGGCCTGGGAAAAGCCCGGGCTGCCAAGGATGATACCAGACCTGGCTTGGGCCGGCAGCCACGGTACAGCAGTCGGAACCTTGGCCCCAAGCCCCCAGTGGGTGACCTGCCTGGTCCCCACACTGCCGACTACGAGAACATGTTCGTGGACCAGCCAGCTGCTGGGCCTGGCTTCCAGGATTGCCACTGGGCCAAACATGGGTGAGTGACCCCACACATCCACCTCCATGAAGCAAAAGCAGAGACAAAAACCAAACCTCGACTCCCAGTCCTTCCTGTCCCCTTGTAACGACTTTTGTGTTCAGAATAATTCATACTGAAGTGTGAGCGATGGACAGACACCATTTACCTAAAGTGGCATTCTACAAGCAGAGCCCACAGGATGTGAGGTGGGGTAAGGATGTTCTGGAGACATCCTCCTCGGGTGGTTAAAAGCTAGGGCTAGACGGCTGGGGTTCAAGTCCCCACTCTGCTCTTGCAGGCTGTATGATCTGGGCAAGTAGCATCAGCTCTCTGGGCTCAACTTCCTCATCTATGAAATGAGGATATCAATAGCCCCTGCTTGTGGTGCTAGAGGTAAGAATTAAGTGAGTTCATGTATGTGGGATAAGTTTCCACCATGGTGACTCACAAACCCTGTTCTGGCTGCCAGGGGTGGGGGGAGAGGAGGCAGGTGCTCCAGCCAGAGGGGTTCTGTGGTCAGCAGTTGGCCAGCGTGACCTCAAATCCCAGTAGCCAAGGGGCTGTGTCTGAAACTGTTAATGACTCCAGAAAAAGGGTAGAGCCTCCCATGCCCCCTTGACACACAAGAGATACCAAAGGAGTCATCTGTGCCCTTCTCCCCACCACAAAGCTATGACAGATACCTTTGGATGTTCTGCTCTGCTTAGAAGGATGAGTTCAGCTTTTCCTGGTTGGATCTGGGAGTGGAGGGAATGTCAGGTGTGGAGACCAGCCGGGCAAGAGCATGGAGGTGGGAGGTACCAAAGAATCTGATGTGAATGGATTTTGAGAAGGAAGAGAGGAGAGTTTTTGTGTTCTGAGTAATTCATACTAAAGTGTGAGTTACTGACAGGCACTTAAAGATATTTTTTAACAAGTAGAGACCATTGTATGCCCTTGACACACAGGAGATATCAAAGAAGTCATCTGTGCCCCTGTTCCCCACAAAGTCCCGATACCTCTGGACAATTTTGTTGGGCTTGGGAGAAGCTCTGGATCAGAGAGTGAAAAGAATTTGAGGTTTTGGGGCAAGCAAGGGTCTAAAGGCCAGGAGATTGGAGAGGACAAGGGATCTGATGTGAGTGAGTTTTGAGAAGATGAGATGTGAGGGCTGGGGCTGGAGGGGGCTGGGAGGATCCAAGCAAAAAGGGGGCACTGACATGGCTGTGTTTGGGCAGCAGAATCCACATTGGGAGGCAGGGAGGCAGGGTGGTTAGTGGAGGTTGTTGATAGTAAAGGAGGGGGTATATGCAAAGCAGATGCAAATAGAGATCAAAAGCAGAAGTGGTCTGTGGTCAGGAATTGAAGGCACTGGGCTCCCTAAGGCAGCAGATTGTGTCTTGGATGGTTGCTCACAAAGCCTCAAAGCTAGCTTCCCTCACGTTCCTAACCTCCCAAATCACTCTGCTTACAACTGGATGTGTCATTTCCATCCTATATTTTACAGTTATGAAAACAGAGGCTTGGAGACACAGAGGAATGACTTGCTCAATATCACACAGTAAGGCAAAAGCAGAGACAAGAAATAAACCCTGACTTCCAGTCCTGCCCATCCTCCTACAATTGCTTTTGTATTTGGAATAATTCACACTAAAGTGTGAGTGACTGGTAGATACCAGTGGTATTTTACAGGCAAAGTGGATAGAATGTGGGGTGGGGTTAGGATGTACCGGAGGCAGGGAAGTTCTTCTCTGGAGCTTTGTCTACCATAGCTAGATAATCCTAAGTACCTACCTACTTACTGATCAGTTCTATGGATGAAGAAACTAGAGGCTCAGAGAGGCAAAACCATTTCCCCAGGTCACATAGCCCAGTGGTACTTGCAGCTCATTCTGTTTCCCTGACTGTTTATATGTTTATTTTTATATCAGAGTCCCATAGTCAGTTGCTTTAAAGTATCTATGAACACATTTCCCATTTACATGGACAGCAACTCTGGTTCCAGACGCTTATGTCCATGTGGCTGGTGTGGGCAGAGCTTCCGATTTTTAGAAGGAAATCAAAGTCTAGATTTTTATGTAAAAAAAAATGACAACTATTTGAAATTTAAGGAAGGAAAAAAATACCTTGTGTGGGCTGAAGATCCTTGGATTTCTGCATTAAAATGCTGATTCCATAGAATCTTCCCTCCATCACTGACCCCTTCCTTGGAGAAAGGTGGGCTGCCTGCATTTCAGTTTCCTCCTCCATAAATATTAGGGGAGTGGACTCTCCCACCTCGAAATTTCTTAGCCTCTCAAAGCTGATGGCCCTGCTTCCTGAGTCCCCCCTTGTTGGTCTGTCCCCACAGGGGTCACTCTCCAGAGAACGACTTCTACATGAACTACGAGGGCGTCAGCCAGACCTCCCAGCCTGTCTATTGCAACCTGGCGTCACTGGGCCGGGCCCCCCTGGATGAAGAGGAGTACGTGATCCCTGGGCACTGAGCCTGTGGCGTCTGGATCTCCCCCTGCCGGGTCCCTGGGAGAGTTCCAGCTCTTCTCTTGCCTCAGTCTCCCCATCTGAGGATTGAGAATATGGAGGGACTGTCCTTATGGCCCCAGAGACGGTCTGCAGCCCCCTCCCCAGGTCCCACTCTGCTCCTTGGGCCTCTTAGCTGCTAGGTCAGAAGGGGAAGGGGGAGACCCTGGTGAGGGGACTAGAGGGTCGATGTGTGAGCCTAGCTGTTACCCTCCTGTCTGTATGCAGGTGACACTCAATAAACACTGTGGGGTGGATGCAAATGTTGGTTTAGGGAGAGTGGGCTCCTCGCCGTAGGGGGTTTCCTGAGCCCCACACCTGGTCCTTTCCAATTTCCCCAGTCTCCAGGAATCCTTCTTGTTGTGTGCTGTAGAGTCAATTTCAACTCATAGCAACCCTATAGGACAGAGCAGACTGCTGCCAAAGATTTCCTTGTCTTTAAAGGAGCACACTGGCAGGTCTTTTCAAACCACCAAACTTTCAGTTAGCAGCCCAGGGCTTAACCATGGTGCCGCCTGGACTCCTTCCAGGAACCCTTACAACCCACAAATCAGCTGTGCCCCTCCCCTGGTCACACCCCCTCCATGACTCCCTATTGCCCCAGACCCTCAGACTGGGGCTTGAGGCTGGTCTGATCCAGCCCTGCCTGCCACACCCCCTTCTTCCATCTCTCTGCCCTTATGGCCTGACCCTTCCCAAACCAAGCCCACTTCCTTCCGGAAGCTTCCTCTGCCATTGCCTTTCCTTTCACCAGAACGCTGTCTCCTTACATTTGTTCCCACTCTTAAACATTTTAATACAAATAGACTCTGGTCTGGGCACCACCAAGAAGCATGGGGCCAAGTCCTGACTCTGCCTGAAACTCTAAGCCTCAGTTTTCCCACTGTAAAACAGGATGATTAGAGGAGGTTTCTAAGGGCACTTTAGTTCCAATATTCTGAGAAACTTTAACTCATCCTTCAAGGCTCCGGTATCATCTCACCTCCTCTGAGAAGCCTTCCCTGCTTCCTCTCCAGCCAGATTTCATCACTCCCTGAGTTTATTAGATATTTTGGAATTTGTTCAAACTCCTACCTCAACTGGATTTCCTGTCAGCTGGTTGCAGCCCTGGTCCTCAGTATGAAGGAGACAGAGCTTGACACAGACCCTCAGTTCTGGGAAGTTAAGGCTAGGCTGGAGGGATGGGGCTGAGATCTCCACAGGGAGCTGATTGAAAGAGTTTGGAAAAGTCTGCATAGAAGAGGGGAATCTGTAGTGGGTTTTGAAGGATGAATAGGAGTTTGAGATATTGAGAGAAAATGGAATACTGAGTAAGAGCACCAGCTCCTGCAAATGCCTGGAAATGTGAAAAAGCCCAAGCCCAGGACCCACCCAGCAAAGGCAGCAGTGGATGCTTGGGGGGAGATTCAGTGAGGCATCTGCTGGCTGCATGATCCTGGTTTGAGTTTAATTTTGGGGCCCCCTGTGGTTGGTTGCCCAACAGGTGGGAGTGATGCAGAGTCAGGAGAGGGACTTATAAGCACTTTTACCTTCAACCCACTGCCATGACCCTACTGTGGTCCGACCCCAGCCCCACTCCTTCCCAAATATCCCTCTCCTTCCAGCACAAATCAGATCCTGCTGCTCTCCAGCTCTCACGACTGCTATGGCTCCCCATTGATTTCTATCAGTCCCACAATGCTCACCGCCATCCATGACACTGTTCCAACTCCTATCCACCTCTATGGCCCCATTTTCCACAGCATCATTGCACACTGAGCTTGATCTCACTTCAGGGCCTTTGCACCTGCAGTTGTGTGTCTTGTTACTGTTGTGTCCTGAGTACCCAACCAGGGCCTGGCATATAGTGAGTGCTCAGTCGAGAGCACCTGAAGTCGTTCAATTTGGTCTCTTGGCAGTGGATTTATAGGGGACACCCCTCTCAGCTGAAAATGGGTCCTCTACCTCTCCAATTGTCCTTAATAGATCCTAAGGGCAGACAGAAGGTGGGTGTAGGAAGGCAGTGGGCTTTGCACATCTCAGGACTCTCCATCCTCAATGTAAAGAACGTATCACCCAGGAAATGCTGTGTGCCTGAAAACATTCTTCATACCTTATTGATTTTTCCTCGCTCTTTTTATATGAGAGGTTAGAGGAGTGGTTAATGTGGGAGATGGGGGATCACAAACTTCTAGGCTGGGATTAACATCACACAAGAATGGACTGAAGATTTGATTGTGGATGGACATGGCCTGGCACTGTCTGTGTTTGGAAAAATGACTCCAATGTTGGGGGAGAGGGATGGGGCCAGACAAGCCCAGACACAAGAAGGGTTGAAGAGACAGTATGAGACAGACTCAAACGGTGAGAGGAACGGGAACAGAAGAATGGGAGGTGGGGAAACCAAGAATGACAGGGCTGTAGGGGCTGCCCTTGCTACCCCCAGGCCTCACCAGTACCTTCTGGTCACTTGGCTTTGCCCAAAACCTGAGATCTGACCCACCACCCACCCTGGGCCCCTCCCACACACCCCTACACTAGATCTCTTGGGGAAATTGAGGCTGGGAAGGAGGGTCAGTCCTTCCCAGGTCCCCTAGCCCCCTTGTGGACACCACAGGGATGGTTCAAACATCTCATTTTTATTACCATTGTTATAAATACATACACGCCCCTCCCAGAAGTCCCCTCCACCCTCCAGTCCCCAGCAAATTCTTCCCAATAAATTAGCAATAAAAAAAGTATCAAACCCGTTGCCGTGGAGTCAATTCGGGCACAGTGACCCTACGGGACAGAAAACTGCCCTATAGGATTTCAAAGGCTGTAATCTTTATGAAAGCAGACTGCCACATCCCCCCACCCCAAAGGCTCTGGAGGCTGGTGGGTTCAAACCTTCCACCTTTCAGTTAGCAGCCGAGGGCTTAACGACTGGGCCACCAAGGCTCATTAGCATACAATAATACGCGGGGTCCTTGGAACACCTCTGCGGGGCCCACTGCATGGATGCAGACCACTGAGGCCTCGCCGTTCGCAGGGCGGCCGCTCAAGCGCAATGGCAGTCCTTAACTAGGATGTCATCGTAGGGCGTGATCGTCACGCCACCGTCGCTATCTTGGTGCAGAAGCACCACTGATTCGAAGCTGGCGGGCACGCAGCACGGCGCAGGCGCGGAAACGGGGTCTAGGTCGTGCAGGCGCGCCTTGATCCGCGCGTGCGCGCTGGCCGGCCGGAAGCGTGATGGGCACGCGCCGACGCATGCGCGGACGTCCAGTTCCCTGGGCGCCAGTACCCAGTCGGCCCAGCCCAGTTCCTCGACCGTCACGCGCCTGCTTTTCACGCCACAGCAGTGTGCCGCCCCGGCCGCGCAGGCCTCCGCCGTGGGCACACGCGTGCTGCGTCGCCCTCTGGCGGCGCTTGGCCGCAGGTGCAGCTCCAGCCGGGCCGAGAGCCGCGCCGCCAGCTTAGGGTCCGACGGCGGCGGCGACACTGGCAGGCGGAGCACAGGCAGCGCAGGGCCCCCGTGGGCGAGGAGGCGTTGCAGTGGCCGCGTCACGTCATACAGGGTCGGCCCGGTTGGGGTCAGCCGGAGCAGGGCCTGCTGCAAGCGGGGGGCAGGGGGGCGCCCCGCAGAGAGGACAGCTCTGGGGATGAGCAGGTGCACTTGATTGCCGGGACCGGGCCGCACTACAGGGAGAGAAGGAACCGGTCATCGCGGCCTAGGTGCTGGGAGGAAACTCTGTACCCGACACGAGGCCGCATCCCGCCTCAGGGCCTTTGCACAAATTGCTCCCCCCACCGGGAACACTCTCCGCATCTCACTATGCTGCTCGCCTGAACTAGGCAGCTCTCCTTTATTTCCTGCTGGATATTTTGTCTTCCCTCCTAGACTCTCAGCAGGGACTTCTGTCTACGTTGTCACCGGTGCGCCACGCACCGTGGGAGCTTGAATGAGTGCATGGTATTTAGAGACACACTCAAACGTTGGCTCGGACGTCTCCTGGCAGTCAAAACCTTTTATTGAAAGTCAACTAAGTGAAGAAGATACTTCAAGTACAGCAACCAGCTACTGTGACCTGAAAAGTCTTCAACGCTCTGAGGCTTTTACCTCATCTGGGAAATGAGGGGTACCCGACCTCCCAGAGTCCTTACGTCCCAGATTCCTTGTGCCCCCATACTCTCCAGACCCTCTCATCTTGTTCATGGCTGGGGGTTGCTGGGAGGCTGTGGTTTGAGGGCCCTGTCCCAGTCTGTAAACTCAGAGAGGGTGAGCGGATTACTAGAAGTCACACAGCACGCACGGATGGGATTTTGTGGATTAGGGCGGGATTACAGCTCTCTCCTGGACAGGACCCTCTCCTACAGGCCCTTCCAGTCCCAGCACAATGCCTTGCCTGGGAAAATCCACCAGAGTGTACTTTGCGCGAGAGTCCTCGGCATAGTTGGAGTCAGATTCAGAACCAACCAAGAACACATTCGGGCCGTAGTCAAGCCTCTCCTTCCTCTACCTAGGACCCTTGTCTGATATCGCCCTCTCCCCTATGCCCAACTGAAAGCAGGGACCACGCCCCTCCCCTGCCACGCCCTGCCCTCTGGTTCTCCTGGAGCTCTCGCCTTGGAGGAGGGGGCAGGTGATGGCCGCTCCGGGCATGGGCATCGGTTTCCCCATCTCCGATCAGGGTGTGGTCCTAACAGCCCCTGTTAGCTGATCGTGGCTCAGTCTGGGTGCAGGTGGCGCCGCCAGCTTCCTATCAATCCTTTTCAGTTCCAAGGGGCAACGGGCAGGGATGGGGAAACTCAGAACTACAGGTTAGCCGTGGAGTGCCTCCCACGGGGCACTCCACGAATTCACTCACCTTCAGGGGTCAGGATCCGAACAGAAGCAGTGCTAGAGTCCGGGCTCCAGTCTTGCCAGCTCTGGTTCCTCCGCAGCTGGTTCATCCAGTTCTCGTAGCGTTTCCACATCTCCTGGACAGTAGAGGCGTCTAGACCTGGGAGTGCCTCTGGGAATCCCCGAAGGCTAGGCTTGCGCTCCAGGACCAAAGACAGGGCACCCTCAGGCGGCAGCAGAGAGAGTAGCAGCAACAGCATAGGAGAAAGAAGCAGCGGCGTCGGTCCCAGCAGGGGCATGGCTGTGGTGCTTACGATCTGAGCTAGAATTGACCAGGCGTTGCACGACTGGCCTTTATACTTACTAGACTTTGTCCGCCCCCGCCTTCCGGTCCCTGCCCACCCTTGCATGCAGAATAAACACTAGCAGCCACAGCTTGACTGGGTCTCAGAGGTGCTTTGATGGGGGGTGGGGAGTGCAGCTTCTCTAGAAGCTGAGGCACTTCTCTGAGCGTCAGTATCCTCCTCTATGAAATGGGACCATCATTCTACCCTGGTGTGTTCCTGGGAAGAATCAGTTAGTCAAAAAAGACTTAGTAGTCATGTACAGTGGTTAAAACATTTGGCTGCTAACCAAAAGATTAGCGGTTCAAACCCACCAGCCACTCTACTGGAGAAATACAAGGCAGTCTACTTCCATAATGATTCATAGCCTCAGAAACCCTAGGGGACAGTTCTACTCTATCCTATAGGGCCACTATGAGTCAGAGTCAACTCAATGTCAGTGGGGCTGGTTGATTGATTTGTTCCAGTCGAGTTTGATTTTTTGTTGTTGTTGTTCCAATTAACCAACCAACATCGCTGACATAGATTTGATCCTGACTCATAATGACTCTACAAGACAAAGTGGAATTGCCCCGTAGGGTTTCCAAGGGTGCAATCTACAGAAGCAGACTATAACATCTTTCTTCCGCAGGGCTGCTGCTTCATCTGATCCACCAACCCTTCAGTTAGCAGCTGAGCGCTTAACCACTGTACCACCAGGGCTCCTTAGTACCAACCACTCTGTCCTAAATTCCAGACTTGATGCTCCCATATGACTCAGGGCTGTCTCGAACCACTCCAGAAAATAGGGACAGTCCTCCATCACCTCTTGACACACAGGAGATAATCAAGAGGTCATCCTCTCCCCTCCACAAAACTCAGTTACCTCTAATCTTTTGCATTATGCGTTATGTGTTCTGAGTTAACTCATACTAAAGTGTGAGTGACTGGTAAGTATCGCTTAAACAGATCTTTTTAAAATCATATTTTACTGTGTTTTTGGTGAAATTTTACCCAACAGAGCAGGATCCTATTTAACAAATTATTCAATTACATTGGATAAATTTTTCACAATATGTCAACATCTCATTAACTCTGTTCTGGTTCTGTTACCAGTAATCTAGTTTCCTTGCCCCCTTACTGTTTTAGGGAGCTCTGGTGGTGTAGTGCTTAAGGCATTTTGACTGCTAACCAGAAGATTGGCGGTTCAAACCCACCAACCACTCCTTTGAAAGAAGATGGGCAATCTACTTCCACAGAAATACCACCTCGGACACCCAAGGAGGGGTTGTTATGAGTCGAATCCACTCCACGGCAGTGAGTTATTTTACCTTCTTATCTTTGCTTTAGGGTAATTGTTGACCATTTGATCTCATTTAGATTATTTTTCAAAAAAGGAGCACAGTACTCATGGGTTATATTTTTTATGTTACGAGTCACTCTGTTATTTAGCTAAAAAATAACCTCAGGGCTAGTTTTAGTTCAAGGTTGAAAGAGTATCTCAGGGAGTCCTCCAGTCAAACAGTCCAGTATGTCTGCACTACTTAAGAATTTGAGTTCTGTTCCATATTTTTCTCCCATTCTATCAGGATCCATCTATTGTTGCCCTTCCCAGAACAGTCAGTAGTTGTATCCGGGCACCATCTAGTTCTTCTGGTCCCTGGGTAGATGAGGCCATGGTTCATGTAGATTATTAGTCCTGGGGACTAGTTTCTTCTGAGGCTTTGGTTTCCTTCTTTCTCTTTTGCTCTACATGAACAGAGACGAATAGCTATAGCTTAGATGAATATATGCAAGCTTTTAAAACCCCAGACACTACTCACCGAACTAGGATGTAGAATGTTATCTTTATGAACTATGTCATGCCAATTGACCTAGATGTCCCACAAGACTATGGTCTGAAGCCTTCAAACACAGAAGAGCAAATTTGCAAGATGCTTGGTTACATCCAAGAAGAATCCTTCACTGTGTCCATATGTGGTTTATTACATATATGAGGAAATACGCACACACACATATACATGTGTATACATATATGTGTGGGAGCTCTGGTAGCGTAGTGCCTAAGACACTTGACTGGTAACCAGAAGGCTGACTGTTCAAACCCACCAGCCACTCCTCTGAGGGAAGATGGGGCAATCTACTTCCGTAGTGATAATGCCTCGGAAACCCAAGGAGGGGTCACTATGAGTCGGGTCCGACTCAACAGCACATAACAACAACAACAACAACAACACATACATGTGTGGATATATATATGTACATGTAAGGAAGGTTGGGCAATCCTACTTCCGTAGTGATACTGCCTCGGAAACCCAAGGAGGGGTCCCTATGAGTCAGGGCTGACTCGACGGCACACAACAACATACATACATACCCATGCATATATATGCATAAAAACCAAAAACCAAACCCACTGCCATCTAGTCGATTCTGACTCATAACAACCCCCATTGGGTTTCCAAGGTGGCAAATCTTTTCGGAAGTAGGTTGCTCCATCTTCCTTCCTTCTGCGAGTGGCTGGTGGCTTTGAACCACTTACCTTCTGTTTAGCAGTCAAATGCCACAAACATTGTCACCAGAGCAGCTCTCTCTCTCTCTATATATATATGGATAAGTACATACTTATGTAACCACACATATTGTTTTCTTTCCTGTTGGTGTTGTTTCAAAACTATATATCTATTTCATCCTTTACCAAAATGCACTTTTCTCACATGTATTTCTTAGTGAAACTACTTAACTTGGTCAGGCTGTGTGCACTTCACCCATGTTTGGTGCTATTTTTCCTATCACCCAAAATAACAAGTCTACTATCTAGAGGAGCTCTGATGGTGCTGTGGTTAAGGCATTGGGCTGTTAACCAAAAGGTCAATGGTTCAAACCCACCAGTTGCTCTGCAGGAGAAAGAAAGATTGACAGCCTTGGAAACCCTGTAGAAGTTGCTATGAGTTGGAATGGACTTGATGGCAGTGGATTTTTTTTTTTTCCCTATTATCCCTTTCTCCCACCCCTGCCCCTGCCCCCATTCCTGTAACCACCAGTTAACGTTTATCTCTGGATATACAGCTATTCTTGTCTTCTATAAAAGTGTGATCATACAATATTTGTCCTTTTGTGATTGACTTATTTCACTCAGCATAACGTCCTCCAGATTCATCCACATCAATATATTTTGAGATTGCATCCTTATTCTTTATGGCTGCATAGTATTCCATTGTAACAAAGAGATTCTTAACAAATGGAACCAATAGGATGCAAGGTAGGGTAAGAATGTTCTAGAGGTGAGAATGTTCTCCTCTGGGGCTTTGCCTACCATGGTCAGACATCTCTAAGAAGTTACCCCTTCCTGACCAACTCTACAGATGCAGAAACTGAGGCTCAGAGAGGCTAAACCACTTCCTTCCCCCAGATCACTCAGCCTGGTGGTACTTAGAGCTGAGTTTCCCTGAGTGCTTATGTTTATTTTTACATCAGACTCACACAGCTAGTTGCTTCAAGGGATCTACAAACACATTTCCTGTCTTAGTTTTCTAAGAGCTGCTAGAATAGAAATGACATAAGCGGGTGGCTTTAATGGGCAGAAATTTATTTCCTCATAATTCAAGAGGCTGTAAGTCCGGATTCAGGGGAGGGCCGTCTCCGTGCTCTGGAAGGAGATCCTTGTGTTAGCCTCTCTACTTGGCATTCCTTAGCGATCCGCCGGCTCTGTCTTTCCTCCTCTGTGTTTGCTCACTGCTGTGTGTGCGCTGCTCTTTTGATCCCTAGCAGTCGCTGATTTAGTTAATAATGTATTAGAGCTTCAACTCTGAAGCACTTGGGTTGTGGAAGGCTGTGGTCTACAGTGGGAGCCGAGCCCTAACTCCATTTGGAGTGTTGACATAAGTTCAAATGCCATTTGAGTTCTTTCTGATCATTAAACCGGCATTGCGGCTCTGCTTAGACAAGTCCAGGACAAACCTCGGGAGGGGCCGTTACCCTTCAGGAAGAGAGTTGTTGAAAATAGCTTGTGCTTACATGAAGAACTAGGGAACATGCCTGAGCATGTCCTTAATGATTTCCTGAAAACAGCTGCACGTTATCTAATTTAAATTAAAGGTTGGGGTCTTGGGATTGTCTCCTAGCCACTTTGTGGCTATGACTCAGGGCCATATAGTCATAAATCCTATCCTGACCACCACATAACCAGGTGGCCAAGCCCCAGAACCCAACCCTGTAATCCTTTTTAACCTTCAGTTGTGTACATATCCTTCCCCTGCCCCTGCCCCCACTTCTGTAGTCCAGTGATGAATTGACCTGCCCCTGATCATGATTTGGTGACGATTTCTTTTGTACTCTATCAAATATAATGACCTCCATTCAGTGGACTCCATTCAGCTTCTGTACTGTGTACATACAGATGTTTTCCGTCCTCCTGAATGATGGTCTTTGCCCAGTCCAAGGCTTCCTAAAGGGACTCTGTCGAACAAGCTGTCAGTGGCCAATGTTTTCAGAAATGAATGGCCCTGTCCTTCTCTCCGGGCTGTCTTAGTTGGACACTCCACTGAAACCTGTCTGCCATGGGTGACCCTACTGGCATTTAAAATACCAGTGGCATATCCTCTAGCCTCACACCAACACACAAACCACCGCGGTGTGACAAAGTGACAGATGACTGGTGGAAGAGGTCCTGAAAGTTCTGTCCTGGAAGAAGTGCAGCTGGAATGCTACTTAGAAGTGAGAATGGCCAGAGCTCATCTCACCTCCTTTGGTCATGTTGTCAGAAGGGACCAGTCCTGGAGAAGGATGTCATGCTCGGTAAAGTGGAGAGTCAGCAAAGAAGGGGAAGACCCTCAATGAGACGTACTGACACAGTGGCTGCAACGATGGGCTCAAGAATAGCAAGGTTGTGAGGTTGGCAAAGGACCGGGCAGGGTTTCATTCTCTTGTCCACGGGGTCGCCATGAATTGGAGCTGACCCAACAGCACCTGACAAT